AATAAAATAAAATAAAATAAAATAAAATAAAATAAAATAAAATAAAATAAAATAAAAATAATAATAAATAAATACTTGTACCAGTTAATATGGATGCATTTAGCTCCTCAAGGAGTTCACAATCTCAAATTTTCGATCCACACTAATTATGTTACAATAATGCATTGTTACAATAGAAGTATATGAAAGATATATAAGGTATTTATACCTATCTTATATTATAAAAACTGAACTGTAAATATAAAAATATAAATACAGGTCCTTGGAAATCAATCCCTAAAGGTAAACTGAGTATTTTGCCAAAAAAGGGTTTACATAGCAACACCATAAGGTACACAAAGTGCTAGAATATCTTTCTAACTTCTTTCAACCAGTATTTATTGAGTCTTACTATGTGATAGGCATCTTATTGCGCTTTTGCTTTTTCATTTTGGTTAACTTGCAAGTCTTAGGAATTTCTCCCAAGTATGAAAATCCATTATAGCCATACTTTCAGATTTAACTTATAGGCTCCTCAAATCCATCTTCCTTCCTTCCTTCCTTCCTTCCTTCCTTCCTTCCTTCCTTCCTTCCTTCCTTCTTTCCTCCCTCCTTCCCTCCCTCCCTCCCTCCCTCCCTTTCTGTCTCTCTCTCTCTTTTGTGGTTGGCTCAGCCCACCCTGGAGGTGGGGCTGGCGTGGTATGTGGTGCTGGGGATCAAACCATAGTCCCTGTGTGCTTGCCTAAGTTTGCCTCAGCAGGTGCTTTAGACTGTTGAGCTATCTCACCAGCCCAACTCAGTTCTTGGTATTTGCATTGTATCATATAGAGACAGAACTATAATAACAATGTTTCAGCAGTAATATTCCCATAAAACATCTCTTTCAAATTCGCAACTGAAGCAAAATTAAAATGAATTAAATTCATCTTGTGAATTTAGTGAATATAAAATATTTTCACTATGATAAAAGTGTAAATTTAGATCCTAAATAAGATTAGGAAATGGGAATATACAATATGGCTGAGATAATTGTACTCATAATTTCCATAGCTTTTTGGAAATAACAGTTAATGTTAAGAAATGTTAACATTAATGTTTCATCTTAACTCTTTATGCTGATATATGTTTGGGTTTTTTTGTTTGTTTGTTTGTTTTTTGAGGAACCGGGGATTGAACTCAGACCCTTGTGCTTGCCAGGGAAGCACCTATCCTACTGAGCCATCTCCCCGGCCCCTGATATACACACGTTGTTAATTGTTAATTAGCTACTCCACACATGTTTTGTTGTATGTTGCCCTCTTTTTGTCTTTTTTCTATTTGTTTTTGCTTCTGTTTTTACTCTTCAAAATAAAATAAAATTTTAAAAAAGGAAATGGGAATAAATGTAGTAAACTACCACATTCTTTATAAATTATTATTATTTCATGTGCTACTTAAGTTCATAAGCTCATAACTGCAGAATAATTCTATTTGTTCTAGTAATTATAAAAATAATAGTATTATAACATCTTTTCCTAGTAACATGTTTAGTCAGGGGCTGAAGGATGGCAGAAACATAATTCCATGTAAGTATTTAAAATGATCACATCCTAAGGGGCTGAGGAGATAGCTCAGTAGAATAAGTGCTTCACTGGCAAGCACAAGGGCCTGAGTTGAATTCCAGGTTCCACAAAAAAAAAAAAAAAAAAAAGAAAAGAAAAAATCACATCCTAGATTGAGACCACTAAAAAAAAGCATTCAGTATATTCAGTAAAGAATAAAGGAAATCCCGAGGCAACAATATCTTCATTCAAAAATGCTCTGAAAATCACAAATAATTATGTTTCTATTTTGCTCTCACAACCTCCTGCTTCAATTGGACAGTTAGAGTCTAATTTTCCTTAAAGAAAACCACCAACCAATGCAAAAATATAACCTCACAAAGCCTTGAAAGTACATACGTGGCGTCGAAGTTCAGTATGGCTGTTCTGAATTTCATTGTTTAGGTTCAAAATCCATTGTCGAATCATGTTAAATATATTCGCCTGGTGTACCCTGAAGGAAAAGTCAGGCACAATAAAGATAAGTAACTTAGAATATACAAGTAACTATCAGCTAAGGAAAATAGTTTTATTTGACTGGGTACAATAAATATAAGGTATTCACAATTGTTTCAGACCTTAGAAAAAGGTGAATTAAAAGTTTTGAATGGGGGACAACCCGCTTGGGCCCCCCCTGCTGTCCCTCTCTCAGACAGGAGCTTTCTTTCCCTTAATAAATATATTCTGCTCATAAAAAAAGTTTTGAATTATGTGGTATGATGACTGAGCCATGGACACAGTGTTCTTAGTCCCTAGGTACATAGCAACTGGCAAGACACACTTTAGACAATGTAGATCTTACACTTATCATTACCCTTCTACTATAAAAATCTATGTTCCTTACATCTATGCACAGGCATGTGAGCAACAAAGCTGGCCCACTCTTTAGTGAAACTAGAAAAAAATCTTTATGAAATAAACCATTTAAAGTCTTGGAAAATGATGAGAATAAAAGATGATGGAAAAATTCAAAGAAACAATGGTTTATAACTCCCTAAATATATTGAAAAACAATATTGCTAAGAAATCTTAGCAATCTCTAAGAAGTTCATAGGCTTGTAACTGCAAAATATTTACAAAGTAGAATATAAAGATATCCAGAAATCTTAGCAATCTCCAAGCAAGTAGGATAAATACAAAGATATCCACAAATAAATACATGAGAGAAAAAGTGCTAGACTTTTCCAGAAAAAAAAAGATGCCAGGGCATAAAACAAATCTCAGTTAATTTAAAGGCCATAATAATACAAAATATGTACCTATACCACAATGGAATTAAATTATAAATCAGTAAATGGAAAAAATTGGAAAACTCACAAATATGTGAAAATTAAACAGATTAACACATTAAAGTAATAAGTGAGTCAATACTGTCTCACAAATGAAATCATTGAACACTTTGAGATAAATGAAAATAACACAGTAACCAAAACATGTAAGATACAACTAATGCAGTCCTTGGAGGGAAATTAAGAGTTACATAGTCCTATATTAAGAAGGAGAGAGCCAGTCATAGTTGTGCATGTTTGTAATCTCAGCAGTCTGAATGTTTAAGCAAGAGGATTGCAAGGGTTTTTTTGTTTGCTTTTGTGATACCAGAGATCAAACTCAGGACCTTGTGCTTGCCAGGCAAGCATGTATCCCACTAAGCTATCTCCCTGGTGAATTGCAAGTTTAAGGCCATCTGGGTTACACAGCAATTTCAAGACCAGCCTGGACTATATAGCAAGATCCTGTTTCAAAAACAAAAAAGGAGGAAAAAGGTGAGTAGATGGAAGAAGAGAAAGAGGAGAAGGAAGAAAATGAGGAAGAGAAGAGGGAAGAAGAAAAAAAAGGAAGAGATGGAAGGGGAGAAAGACAAGAAAAAGGAATAAGAGGAAGAGAAGGAAAAAGAAATGGAGGAGGGAGAGAAGCAAAAGGTGGAAGAGGAAAACAAAGATCTACAACCTAACAGGTTGTAGAAAAGATTTATAACAGGTATGGAAAAGATTTAGTAAAATAAATATAAAGAAAGCAAAAAAGGAAATTATAATGACTACAATGGGAAGTAGTACCATAGAGACTAGAAAAGTACTAGAGAAAATAATAGTATAGAAAATGAAAAAATGGTTCTTTAAAATGATACCAAAGATTTAGCTACATTGACTATGAAAAATAGAGATTAGGTTCAAATTACTAGATTCAGACATCAAAGAGAAAAGACATGGGTAACAATCTTCCAGAAAGAAAAAGGATTATAAGGAAATACCATTAATGGTTTGGATAAGGTTTGAATGTATCTCCCAAACGTTAATGCATTAGAAGCTTGGTCTGCAATTGGGTAATGTTAAGAAATAGTGGAATCTTTAAAAGGTGGGACATAATAGATGATAAATAGATCACAGAGGGTATGTCCCAGCCCCAGAGGATCAGTATAGTTCTTGTAAGACCCCATTTAATCCTACAAGAAAGCATTGTCATAAAAGAGCAATGTTGTCTCCTGCATGTCTCTGGTGATCTCTCCTTTCATACATGTGCCCACCATGCTGCCATCAGCCATGCTGAGATGCAGCCCAGGGGTTCCTCACCAGAAGCTGAAGCAATGAAGCTGCTTGACATTGGACTTTCTGTCTACCAACCTATGAGTTAAATAAGCTTTTTTTCTTTATAAAGAATTTAGTTTTAAGTATTTTATGATAGCAGCTGAAAAAGGAGCTAACACAAATACTACCAATCCTTTGCCACAACTTAGATAACTTACATGAAATTGTTGAATTTCTAGAGAGATATAGAAATGAAAGTTGACTAAGAGGAAACAGACAATATAAACAAATGCATAAAAATAATTGCAGGGCCGGGGAGACAGTAGAATAAGCACTTGCCTAGCAAGTGCAGGGTACTGAGTTCAATCCCCAGTACCGAAAAAAAAAAAAATTCATCACTAAAAAGTTACCCAGAGATGATTTTGCTGAGTCTTACCAAAAGTCAACAAAAAATTAAACAACAACAACAATGAATTAACACCTTGTTTCACAGTCTTCCAAAAAATATAGGAAGAGGAATGCTTACCAATTCATTTCACAAGGATAGTACTATCCCAATATAATACCAAAGATGTCACAGAGGAAGCAGACCAATGACTCCCAGGACTTCTTCTGAAATCTGGGTGGAAGCCTTTCTGACCTCACAGCTCTTACATTTTGCATGCACTTAAAATCAGCACCACATAGATATTGCAGAGTCTGCTGCCAGCTGAAACAGTAGCAAGACTTCCTTTTCTCTTGAGTATAAGGGTTTCAGGGACTATGAATCAAATCCCAAGGAACAACTTCCCTAGGCCAGTGCCATTCTGGGATATGGTGCTGGAACTCTTTTTTCAAAGCAAAGTATTTCACTTTTGCAATTTTGAGGTTGCAAAGGATAGAATCCTTCTGCTTCTTGTGATGCCCTCAGGCCATCCTTCATATTCTGTCTCTTCTCAGCAATCAAATCCCCTCTGCTCTGTCTCTGTAGGACACAGATTCACTGAAGCTTCCTTTCTGTCTAAACTCAAAATGTTTTAAATCTTTCTGATGGCATCCTTGTTCTGGATTCTCAACATAAATCTAGCTAAAAGCCCCCAGCAGTAGCCATGCCACAGCCTCAACATTTGACTGCCTTGAAATATCTTCTGACAAACTAATTATTCTATCACCCTTAATCTCAGTCTCAGGCAAAGTCCAAGGGAGAGGAAAGTCTGGCTACTCCTCTATCTGGCAACAGACCTTGGCATCATCCATGTATTGCTGGTTTTAGGTACATGCAGAATGCAAGAGTCATGGGATTAAGAAGGCTTCCTCCGCACCAATGTCAGAAAGCCTGGGAGGCCAGGTAGTGCGCTCCTGAGAGGGTGTTGTATGAAGCTGTGAGGGTGAAGCAAAAGGTGCAATAGAGACCCTAGAAGTTTGGAGAAGCCAGGAATATGGAGCATCCAAGGAAATCCACAAGATTGGAACAAAGCAGACCTAAGAGAGAAGCTGTGGGAGCTATTGCCACCAGAAGTGCTGTAGGTGTAGCACCCTCCAAATTCTGGAGCTCACGATTTGTCATGGATTGTTCCATACACTGGTCATGGAACAACAGGAACATTTGCCCTGCTGGATGTTAAACTTGCTTTGGTCCCAATACTTTACATTCCAGTTTGTAACTTTTGGAATGAAAATGTTTATTTTGTGCCATTGAATGTTGGAAGTGTTCAACTTTTCATGTGTACAGAGACTCACGACTAAGAGTTTGCTTTAGATGTAAGAGAAGACTTGGTACTTGGGACTTTTCAGCAATGCTGAAACTGTTAGCACTTGAGCAACTCTTAGAGATGGACTAAAATCCTTTTGCATAAAGGGATGTGTTTGAGTCTTTGCAGGGGCCAGGGGCAGAAAGTCATGGTTCTAATATAATATAATGTTGATAGACTTAATATTAGTTCTTAAAGATTATTAAACCTGTGTTAAAATGTTCTAGTTGTGAAATGGTAAGAATACACATCTTTGTATTGGAAACTTTTAAACAAATGTGTCTGGTTGCCAAATTGACAAGGGGTGGATTATAGTGGTTGGTACACTGTGTCAACTTGAGAAGTTTAGAAGTTTAACTAAGCAAGTCAGCAGGGGACCAGTGTCCTGATTTTAAACATCTTCATCCTGTGCAAGAGGAGGGCACAGAAATGGTGTGAGTGCTACTCCTACCCTATGGGGTATTAGCCTGCTTACACTATAATGGAGGAAAAGAGGCTTGCTCTTACTCCTTTTGCTTTTGCTAATTTTTTTTTATCTTCTGCCATCTTGAACTGTTGCCCCATGCCATGCCACCCTGCCTTGGAGCCAGCTGACTATGGACTGAGACCTCTACAAATTGTGAGCGAAATAAAGCTTTCCTTTCTTAATTTTTGGCATCATGAATTTTGTCTCAGCAATGAGAGCAAAGTAACAGACAGTGGTCTGGCTCTACTTTCTTAGCTGGCTACTCCAAACCTTTCCTAACTCTTCCCAAGAGCTAATCCCAAGGGCTTCTGAACCACATGGTCAGGTATAGTCACAGCAACAATACCACTTCTCTGGCACCAAAATTTGTCTTAGTTACTTTTCTCATTGCCGAGACAAAATACTCAATACCCACAAGTTAAAGGAGAAGTTTTATTTATCTCACAGGTTAAAGAGGTTTCAGCCCATAACTTGCTGGCCCTAAGAAGGGTGAATTTGAAGAGGAGAACAGTAGAAGGCAGGAAGAAAGTAGCAAAAGTAACCAAGAGACCATAACAATATTTTTCTGCTCCTTTTATGTTATTCAGGCAATATAGGGCAGGTAGCACTCATACCCTTAATCCCAGTGCCCGTGATCCTAGCATTACACCATGAATTAATTTTCACATCACACTATAGATCTGGCCACAACCATATATGCCCACATATGACCACATGAGGCTTTGGGGGGATATCT